AAAAAAAAAAAAAAAAAAAAAGAGGGAAAAAGAAAAGACAACCAAAAATTTTCAGAGTTTATCCTCTGGGTCAATGCCTTAATAAAACAAACACCAGACCAGCCCCAAAATAATGCATATGGACAAGAAAGGCATTGCAGAATCTTCTCACCCCCATTATTATCTTCCTGTAGTCCCTACATCACAGAGAAAAAAAAATTCAGACAATTCCTCTCCTTTGTGCAACCATTTTTTAACACAACCACAGTGGACATTCATAAGGCTGTTCTGAGCAGCTATTTTTTGATCCTAACAAATCTACGTGCTTCTTGCACAAGTGTCTCAACATCTTCATTATCCTTCTCTTCTGAACTTGGTTCCCAGTCCGAGTCCTCATCAGTAGGATCACACTCTTCCTCCTCCTCATCGTCTATAAAGCTGTCATTGAGGTCATATTCATTGGCTTCACCATCATTGACACTGTTTTTCTCCACAGCCCTTTTTCCTGTAGAGACAAAAATGTCATGTATTCATGACTAATAAATGTAGAGCTCAAGATCCCTCCCAGAGCCCACATAGTTAAGTGTCTCTCCTCAAAAGAATCACCTAAACAACACATCTACCTTCCAATTAAGCCTCTAGCTATTGCTAGATGGCTACTCTGACCTTAGATTTTCTGCCTCCATCCATCCATCCATCCATCCATCCATCCATCCATCCATCCATCCATCCATCCATCCTATTCTTAGTCTTTGGAAGCTGATATGACTTTTAATTCCTACTCACTTCTTTTCTAAGCTTCACATGAGAGAAGAGTGATCTGATATTCTAGATCACTCACCTCCTATGTTCTCCACTTGCCTTCTGGCTGGATAATTTGTGTTTCCCTTCTGAAGGTCATTTCCTTCAGAAATGCATTTTGACAGATGTGTTTAAGCCTTGCTCTGAACATCTGTGACACCGCTTTTCTTAAATGTCCAAAATTCCTAATTAGCCATGTCCTCTTAATATTCCAATCATGTCTTATTCTGTCTTTAAGTCACATCTCTGAGTAAAATCATGTTTATTCCTCTTCCTCCCACCCTCCCATTTTTACATTCTTACCTTATCTAGAAATAACCATTCAAAGATACTGGTTTAGCTAACTTATCAGTTGAGCAGTTGCCACCAGTTTTCATATGAAACCATGAATATATATTTTTCCTTTAGCTACAGACCACAGCCCAAATCCTAACTCTAAATTAACCATAAGCACTTCTCAGCAAACTCTAGAAACCTCAGGTCAGAGCTCCAGGCACAAACACAACCACCAGGATTTCATGTAGCCAGACTACAGCCTTTATCGGTCACACTTTTCTAGGAGTGGGAATGCCCCTGTTCCAGAATTACCTTCCTTTTTATGCTTGCTGGCTTTTTGTTTAACAGACTTAAGAGGCAATGAATCATGCCATGGTTGGGAGGACATGTTCATTTCAGGACGTTTCCTCCCAATCTGTCTCAAACAAAGACACTGTGTTAGCCCATAACCAGCAGAAATTCTTAGCAGAATCATGGACTATAGTCCTTGCAGAATTAATAATGTTCTGGAGGGGTCAAAATGAAGATGCTGAATAAAATAAGAAGAAAATCCCCCATCTCAGACTAAGGTTACAAGAATAATGAGCCCAAGAGCTGTTTATCAAAGAAAAGCCCTTTGTCACTTTCACAGCACTGAGTGGTATTTTGCAACAGAAGCAGGAACTCTGGCAAAATACTGATGACTTCCATATTCTTCCTACAAATGTGGGAGGTGCATACCATGTTCTCCCTCCCCATACATCTATGCTTTGATTTTAGAAGTGAGTGATGCAGCTCCTCTTATGCCTTTCCTCTCTACTTCTTTCTGCTGTAGTTTAATTCAGCCCTGCAGCCCCTAAAGCTGATGATTAAGCTCAATTTTGCCTTAGTAAAATTTTTCTCTAGTAGCATATCTATAAAGATGACCTTGAAACTTTGTATGAAAATATCTCCTTAAAGTGGGGAAAAAAAGGAGCTGACTGCTCCTTCCAAAATGTTTTATTTTAAAGTGAGCTGATCAGCTTGCTAGAAAACCTACATACAAGAGTGTAGAATAATCCTGCACGTTCCATGGTTACAGCATGTTACTTATCTCAGCAGCAACAACCTAGAGAAGTCATTCACTAGTGACAATTTAAGGACAGCATAACGCTGACTTTTTTTTTTCAATTCCTTCCCTACAACTATTCCCCAGTAATCTTCCTCAGATTATTTTTCAGAACATTCTCTACAGGCAGTTCTGGCAGCAATTAGACTTAAAAGCTAAACATGTTAACTGTCACGTGGAGAGTTCCCCTGCTCTCTTGGCTGGTGGAATTTAAATACACTTGTAGGAAATTTAATCCTGCTGTGTCTAACGGTGCAGCTGTGCCAAATATGACAAAATAAAGGTTAATGGAGCCCTTACTGTCTGTCTGACCCTGCAGGATGTGGTATGATGGCCTCCTGCCTTTTATATGAGCACCACCTTTTATAAGCTTTGCCCTCCACAGAGCTAAGTAAGCCCGTAAACAAGACATTAAACAATTTTTAAAATATTGAATATAAACAGAACTTAATTAATTAATTCCCTTCTTCCCTGTCTGTGCAGAATATGAGTTCTTCCCCAGTTTGTTCTTGGTGAGAAGAGTTGAATTTGACAGACTGAATTTCACTTCTGTGTGTAAGTTTTACATGGTACAAGGGCAGCACTTTTCCCTTCAGAGTCACCCCTGCCTGACCATCAGCTGCACACACAGAACCTACTATTTGGGTAAGGAAGGTGCTCTTATGAGAGGCACAGCTACAATTTAAAACCTTCAAGAATAAATTTAGACTTTTAGATATGCACACAGCCCAACCTGCTTCATTCTAAAATCTCCAACATTCAGTACATGCCTCAACACTCTGTAAACACAAATTTCTACCACGGACCTCTGATCAAGATGGGGCTGGTATTTGCATCACAGGATGCACTAAAGCACACAGGTAACAAACATGCCTCAGAATATGCTGGTGCACAGATTACAAGCATAGCAAATATTTGGTGACAGCCAACGTGCACACAAACTTGATAAGGAAACGGTGTGGCAAAGGAATTTCTCAGTGGAAAGTTTAAAACAACCTCCTGCATTCACCCACAACAGAAACAGAGGCCACCCACAACAGAAATAGAGGCCAAAACACTTTGCCTGGAAAGCTAACTACAGCTATTTGCACTTCTATGTATTTTCTGTAGAAAGTAGATCCATTCTGAAGATTTCTTGAGGAAATGCCCAGTCACTGCTTGGTGATCTCAAAGAAGGCAAGCCAGTTCCCACTCCCACTCAAAATGCAGCAGTTCCACACCCTCCTGCCTTACTCTGGCCACTGAAAGTGAAGCTTGCACAGCATCAGACTTTCAGACTGCTCTTTAAAGCTCACTTTCAATTTTAGAAAGCATAGGAAGCTTCACATTTGGAAGATGAGATACAAAAGAATCCTGAAAGCAGACCTAAGCATGTTTAAAACTTGAGTCTGTGCACCTGCAACATCCATAAACTTCTACACTTTGATCCTAACAAGCCCTAAAACATCAATAACTCAGGGTAAGAGTGAGTTCATCAGCACATGCACAGATTATCACCTGAAAGTTATTTAAAGGTCAATGCAATGCAGAGGGAGCATCTCTATGTTGCAAGAGCAATCACTCCTTACACGGCAACCTTAGCTAGCTGTGCATGAAATACTGGATTCCTTCCATCCTATTATGGCTGCTGTGTAAGGAGTGAGGATGGAACACACCATTTACCAATATGTGTCTCTCCTTAAAATATGTTTGTTTCCTTGTCTGCTTCTAGGCAAATACAGCTATGATTATCCAGGAAGACTGGCACAAATTCAACTGAAGCACTATTACTTGTAAGAAAACAAGAAGGGTTTTACTCAAATAATGACTACTTTCTCCTCAGCTAATTATTATCAAGCTTCTCCAGCAAAATTAAATGTTGAAAGGGCCACAGCAGACCAACTGTGTTCCAGGCTGATGTGCCCACTCATAACTTTAGAATGTACTCACCATTCCTTGAAGATCGTCGTTGTGTTCCTCTTCCAGTTACTAAAGAAAGGGAAGCTGTCAGTCAGGACAGAGGAAACCCCGACATAAAGGTTATTCTTACAGCTGCTACAACAGAAAACTGACCTATTAAACAAATGCTGAAATGGTTGTGCTGTACTTACAGGTATAAAAAGCTACTCTGATGCCCCAAAAATACCGGTTTTGTCTTGAATCATTCCCAAGAGATTACCCAGATAAATTTGAATTATTCTTAAAATTATTTATTATTATTCTTAAAATTATCATTCCTGCCATCTGTAGACAAATGTTATCAATTCTGTCTGACTCAGAGATTTTAAGCAGGAAATTGGAATATTTTAGGGCATTTAAATATTTTACACTGCTATTTCCATAAATGTTACTCTTTCTTAATAATGTCATTGCCCTGAATCTTCAAAGTAAAATGCATTATCATGATATTTTCATAAGTGTTCTGCTCTAAACTACTGTTTATTTCATTGGGATTTCATGTGGAAAAATTCCAATCCAATAATCAAGAGAAAGCACCCCAAAAAAATAAAACAAAGACGTATCTCTTTCAATTCTTTAAGAGCAGACAAAATGTAAACAGCACATTACCCTGTGTTTTTTTTTGCCAAATCAAGTTATTGGAATATAAAAAGACTATGAAGTGTTAGATTAGGAAATCAAATTCAGTTTTAGTTAAACTCCCTCCAGTCCCCAAGAAGGCCTCAAGAGAACATATATGCAAAAATCAGTTCTTAAGTAAGAAAATCACTGGTAAAAAAAAAAATCCAGCACAAAAAGATGACAGATATGGTTGCAGTATTTTGTTTAGAGTATCAGAATACTTCAAAATTATATCATACCTGAGAATTTCTGATTTAAAAAAAAATCCCAGAAAAAAGAAAATAATCCTAATACAGAGGGAGCTATAAATGCAACTTAATTCCCTAAAGGGAGATTAAAGTATTTTATTGAGATGGACTTGATGGTCCTTGTGGGTCCCGTCTAATTCAGAATTTTCTGTGATTCTGTAACATTGAACAAATTGGCCCACCTGGAGGTGCACTGTGCTTGTATTCCAGCTTGTGCTGGGGGTTCTTCCTGCAAAGAAGAAAACAGTAAAAGCTTGGTTCCTTCACCTTGTTCCACGTTTGTAAAGTGCAGAATTCCCTGGTATTTTACAGATAATTTTCAAGGCACAAAGTACAGTAAGGACAACAAAATTAACACAAAACCCCTTCAAATTACATCTGTTGCTACATCAAAAGAATGATTAAATTTTTGTGGGTGCCTTCTTTCCTCTATCCCCAAAGAATGAAACACACATAAGAAAATTATCAGCTAATGCAAGTTGTCTTATCTGCAAGGTAAGGCAATTTGGGGTTTAGGTAAAGCATCTGTTGTATTCCTGGAAAGGATGTTGGCAATTTCATTACTGATATAAGCCTGCACCCCTCAGCCTGAGATGGGAAATTCATCTCATAGGTGTTCTCAAGAGAACCACTTTTTGTGCATTAGCTGAGTATCACCAAAGCTTTTTTTCCTAAGAGCTGTCCTTATTTTGTTACATTTCAGGGAGACATTTTCGGACAACCACACTTTCCAGGAGAAAATGTTTCTGAGGAGAAACAATCTTTAACAGCAGCCTCTAGTTTCAATATGCTCCCATAGAAATGCTGCTGCCTCAAAATATGTCTTCTTGTCCATTGTAATAATTATATAATCTGCTACATATGTAAAAACTAGATACTGAAAAACAAATGGAATACAACTGTATTTTGAAGAAAATCAGCAGTGCATTGAAGAAACAGCAGCCAGCCATAAATGGATTTTATTGATCTGTCCTGGGGTGACATGCTGTTACCTCAATTATGCTTTGTAATAAATCAAGTACTGATTAAAATAGTTTTTGTACAAAATCCCAACAAATACATTATCAAAATTTAAACTGAAAGTTACAGATCAAGAACAACATGTAACAATAAATTGTTTATATAATAAAGAACAATTTACTGAATGTTGAAAAGAGATACAGTGTTGATTTCCAGGTCACTGAATAGTCAAGTTTTCATCCCTGATATCATTACCAAAATAGTGATTTTTACTGTGTCAACGTTAAAAATATGCACAGACTTGGATGCTTTAAGGGTAGCAGTCTGACCACAGCAAATTTCAGAAGGCTACAGTCAAAGAATTAACATCAAGAATTAGTCATTATTCCAGTGCCATTCTGCAGCTGCAGAGGGGAACATCCTTAACCTGTACACAAGCAAAGCCACTTTGCACAGGCTTTCTCACCGATAACAAGCTGTTCCATAGGGACACTCAGGCCGGTTGTCATCGTCATCCTGAGCCACCATCTCCATGTCATGATAGTCATCATCATTAGGATGACTGAACTGCTGGAAGTGAATGGGATTCTTCCTGCAAAAGACAAATATACACCAAAACTGACTGTTCCATTTCACCACAAGGAGAGGACACATAAAACATGTTACTGAATCACTGAGCTCATTTTTCTGTGGTTACATGAAGAGAAGCTTTTTATGTTTAACTTGATGTAGAATGTATGTCCCTGCTTTCAGGATAACAGAAGAAATTTTGTCCTAGCACCTGCTGCAACAGAGGTTAAACCTGGAAATTTCCTATTTCCCATCAGCTTTAAGTTTCAGACCTCTAACAAATACACAAAAGGTTTTATGTGAATTACAAATTAGTGCGCTGACATGAAGTTGTATCATAAGACATTAACAACTCCATGTGTAGCTGAGTCACACCAGTGTTAGTGAGGACAGCACAAGATCATCATCCACAACTTCTTGCTCTACAACACTTGAATCTGAGGTAAATAAGTAGGGAACACAGATTTATGCATCACTGAAAGAACATTTCTACCACTTCTCGGCCACAGCTTTGTAACACCCACCACTCAAGACTAGGCAGCCATAAACATCACTTGAAGAAGAGTTTTTTTTCTTTCTAGAATTGTTGCAAGTGGAGTTTAAAAGAATACAGAAAATCAAGTTCTGACTTCAGGATAAATTCATGTGATAAACATGCTACAAAAAATTACATCAACATTAACATACTAGTAGGAAAAGCAAATCTACTTTTTCCCTATAATTTCTTAGAGACTTTTTTTCCAAGCATAATATTGAGAAGCAAGAAATGTGACGTTTTTGAATAAATTATCTGCCAAAAGGCATCTACAAAATACTTTAATGATTCCCTTAATTATTCTCAGAGTACATAACCTCTAGTGTATTTGTGCAATTTATAAAAGTGAGCTGCTGTTTCCTGGATTACCCTTGTCTTTTGTATTTACGAAGTACGTGGGATTATCTAGAGCTCAAAACCTTCTCCTAAATGTAGTTCACAGGTCACTGGGCATTTTCTAGGCTCAAGAGCATCTCTAGATTTCAACCTCCCCTTCAATATAACACCACAGATCTCTACTGGGCAGAAAGATGCCAGGCACCCAGCACTGGTATTTTGGAACTTCTCTGGAACATTTGTATGACAAATCTTCTGCCACTTCCACATTGAAAGGATATGAGTGGGTGAAAAAGAAGAGGGAAAACCCCAGTTATTCCTCACTTGAAGCATTTCCAACAAGTTCTCAATATGCTTTGTTCTGGTTTTAGGGGTACTGAAAGCTTAAAAAAAATTGCAGAAACACCAAGTTATAATAAAAGAAATTCTTGATTATTAACAGATGACAAATAGTAAATATTTTAAACATTCAAATCGCAAAGTGGGCAGTAACTTCAATAAACACAATAATATTTCATATAAGTCTCACCTGCTAATAAAACAGACCTACTGGATCTGTGTTGGGCATTTGAACCTTTTACATCTCTTCTCCCTGCTCATACCATACACAAAGGTCTTTTATTTCTTTTCCTTTTATATTGGACCTTTATATTTTATTTCATGCAACACTTCATCTTTTAATTTGATCAAGTACTTCATCCCTTGTTTGGGTTGTATTAGGAGTTAGGAAGACATCCCAGCTCCTTCTTTTATCCTTCTAAAATTATGTTCACCAAGATGTTTTTCCAAATCAAAGCTTTTAACAACTTTACAGTTTGCCCAAGCTAGTTTTAATTTTGTTTTACCTGTAACAGCCACTTCCATACATGCAAGGTGTCCTCTTACGCTGCATCTGTTTGGAGCTTTCTGAAGCATCTGCACTTCTGTCTGAATCAGAAATCTCAGTATTGTAGTCCAGATTTGCATCAGGCTCAGGAATCCCTTCCTGGGCACCAAAGTATTGGGAAGTCCTGCTCCAGTGAGCTTGTCGGCTTGTAGAACCAGTAATCTGCTCTTTGTTTTCTGTTTCCTCAATTCCATTGTCTTTACTGGAGATCTGACCTGCTCTTTTAGACCATTTGCTATGCAGCTGCCTATCATTTTCTTCCAGAGAACTTCCAGGGCTTTTTGTTCCAGTCTTGCCACTTCCTTCCATATCCCTCATGGTAGTCTCAAGAGGAAATCCAGATGTATTCTGTGGAACAAGGTTACATTTTGAAGAACCTGAAAATTTACACACCTCAGAATTAAAAGCTTTGAAGTAAAATTGCCTCATCATCCGTGTTTTCAAAATCAGTCATGGAACAGCCCAAGTTAGAAAGAACCTTGAAAGATTGCCCAGGCTTTAAAAATCTTCTACTGCATTTCCCAAACTCAAGTGCACTGCTAAACACAGCTGCTGAATGAAAACCTCAAATTCAGAAAACACAGAGAGCACACACTCTTAAAGAAAAGAGCTGTCATCCAACAGCTTCCTTCCTCAGCTTCAGTTCCCTCACAACATGCCCTCTTCTCTTACCACCTTCAGTTTGTGAATAGTCCAGGGACTAGTTTAATTTACAATTAAAAGTACTGTTCCTGAAAAATTAATGGGGATTAATGGGATGAAGATGTAGTAGACTGTAGAAGAATGCAGACTCCTACCTAAGATTCCATTTAAATGATTAAGGAATTACTTACTAATTTAATGAATTTCTTAACAATTTAAGCACCAAGATATATGGAGTACATATGTATTTATCTATATAGAAGATACATGGCAACTCAGGATATATACCCTGAGGTTAATCTCACACTAATTCATCTTAAATGCTTCAGCTCATGACTCTAAATCATAACAGTCACCATTAAGCAAATATTTCAGTTTTTACACAAACTGCATTTTAAATTTTGGAAAAAAATGTACATTTAAAATAAGAAATGTGTTTTTTAGAAAAGGAAAATGAGATTCACAACTGGGAAAAGAACACAGTCCTGACAATTGAGACATTACCTGAAAGCATATCTACATTCAAGGGTGAACTACTTTGATACATCATAGAACTATTAAAAAGTCTCTGCTTTCTAAAGATTTTTATCTATGTTTTCCCTCCAGTGAATTTATAATTACTTTAGACAAGTGTGTTTGGCAGAGCTTGAAAATTAGCCAGTGATTTCCTATTTGATTTTGCTCCTTTCAATGCAAGTCAATTTTGGATAAAATGTTATCCAAAACCAGAGACAATTACATTTGAGCAGCAACGTGATTAAGAAAGGGCAAAGTCAGCATTAATATCAGATGATCCTGACAGAATCATATTTAGTGACTCAGCTAAGAGACAAAGACAACTCCCAAAATACAGCTCAGCAAGCTGAGACTTAAGAAACAAGCCTTCCTTTGCAAAAGAAAGCATAAATTACTGTTATTTGCCACTACCACTGACGAGTTCTCTGCCACGGGTTTCAACCCACTGCCTGTATTGCACATAAGGAGACAGAAGGTGCACATGGATTAGGATCAGTCACATCCTGGCTGAGATCCAGGGACACCAAAATCCTCCAGCGCCCAGCATTGGGACACCACGGCACCCTCTGGCGGCTGCTGCCAACTACAACAGTTCAGATATTTTTGCTTTCTTCCCTACAGAACATTTTCTCAATTGCCTCAAACACGACAGCAGGACTGTGATTTAGGCTCTGCTATCCAAATTACAGTCTTTCGGAGCTCTCTGTGGTTATTACTCTTGCTTGCCCTAACACATCAGTTTTTCTGCAAAGTCCTGAAAGCAATTTCTTAAACTGTACTTGAGATTAAAATGATTTATGAAATTATTAGGTGAAAATAAGTAAGGCTTCCTACTTGCAAATTGCAAAATTGAATAATTCATTATGTAGTCACTCATTTTATAACCTGGAAAAGAGAAAATAGCTCAGCAGCTGTTATTAATGCACCTAGCAGACCACTGTTATACCAAAACTACTACCTACCACTTGCTCTTTATGCATGGTTTGTTTCAAATAATCTTCAAACCAAAACCCCAATAATTTTCAATGTCAGAAGCATTTTAAGTATTTTATCAGATCCTAGAACACACCCAGGCAATTTTAATGCCAAATATTAAAAACACCTCCCCAAGGGGTTCACTTAAAGAAAACAAGTCAGTGAAACCCTCAGTTTGCTCTCACCAGAATATGCTTTGTCTTTAGCAATGCTCCTTCTCTTTTCACCACTTGCAGGATGTTATTAGTAAGAATTTAACTGCCTGCAAATGCAGCTGTAAATAGAGGTCACAGAGACACTGGACCAGCTGGACCAAAGGGTCTGTTTACTCATTGCCATGAATCATTTTGGGTTTCAGGTTACTTTTTTTTCCCCCTTGCTCTTTTTCACTCAGATTTTGAGATGGTGGCATAAGCACACTCCTTGCTACGTTCCTTTGAAACACAGCAGCTGCTGAGCCACACACCATCCTTCTCTGACCATAAACCCTCACCTACTAGAACAGCAACAGCTTGGGCAAAGCCCAGTGTCACATTACATCAGTAGCACAGCATCACCTATCCCCAGAGGTTCTCAGGAAAAGAAACCACATGCACCAGCCACTCCTAGGAGCAGTGCTCTGGCCAGTGTTCCTGCCTCTTGCTGCAAAGTTTATAGTCTGGTACTTCTGTGGGACACTTGGGGCCCAAGTCCCAGATCTTTTGAAGGAAATACAGAAAATCAAATCTTTGAGGGTTCCATGATCCTTGCTACAGAGCTATCCAATGGACTGGTATTTCAAAACAACAAACCACGAGCAGAACGTATAGTACAAAAGGTTATGTTATAGACCCAACCTTCAACATGACATTGCCAACTACATTCTCATTTTTTGCCTTATCATTTTGCCCTGAGCCAAAAAGTTACCTGAGATAAAGGAACAGGGATGGAAAGGCAGCTCCTTTTCCCTTGATCTTGTTCTCCACCTTCAAAATCCTCAATAGTTTCTTCAGAAGCTAATCTTTTTTTCTGTTGTACATGTACTTCTGCTTTTAATGACTCTGCATGACCTTCTCCCCTTCCTTGGCCTTTTTTCTTTCTACTACCTTAAAATAAAGAAAAAAATGGTACTTTTGGAAAGCAACTTTTTCAGTGAAATCCTGACACTAGGAATCATTAAAGCAGAAGACTGGGCACATGATATGAGAAAAAGCAGCAGTTGTGAAAAAGACTTTTTAAACAGTTCTGATAACGTTTGCATGAAGCCCCAGCTCCTTCAAGGTCAGGCCTTCAGATACATCTCACCCACACAGCTCCTAATCTCAACACTGACACAATCAAAGTGTTCAGTCTTTGAAATAAATATCATATGCATACATGTAACAGTATGTTACAGTTACAGTACTGGCAGAGAAACAAACAAATAAACAAACCCCACTCCCCCAAAAATACAAAACAAAAGCATAAACATAAGAAAACTATCACACCAGTACAGGACTCAGCATAGCCAGTTAAAGTCCATGTAATTTTTATATAAATAAGGCAGAAGGAAACAGTCTAGATTTAGAAGAAAAGGATACTGAAACACAAATTTCCTTCTGTATCTGATAGTTTTTTCCAAACTGGCTTCTGGATAAAAGAATAGGCAGTGTGGTGGATGGCACCTGACTGAGGTGTTTAAAGCCACAGTTTCCCACATCAGTGCACACAGGCCCCTGTATTTACAACAGGAGAGAAGCAGCAAGTGGCCAGACACTGCATAACATAATATTATAACAAACATAACATAATAACATAACTCCTGTGGGGCTGCTTGGCAGTAAGAGCCAAATCCATTACAGCATCTCAGCAGAAACAGCAGCTGGAAAGAGAGTGACTAAAGCAGAGCTGCTGCACACAGGGGAGCAGACACACACTCACCAGCCACAGTTCATACACTTGGACTGATCAGCAAAGGAAACTCAACAGTTTGCACCCAAACCACTTCACTCCTCCCCACTGAAGGGCAAACAGGCTGTGCTGTGCTGTGCTGAGCACAGGGAATGACAGGAACAGTTTCTTCTTCTCACTTCTTTAGCCCAACTGTTCCACCCATGAAAGTCGTAAGGGCAATAAATGCCACGTAGAAAGTTTGCCTAATGGCAGTTTTAGAAGCTCCCAGGACCAAAGTCAAATCCTGACTCTTCATGTTAGAAATATTAAGATTGTCCTCTTGAGCTTTAGCCAATACATAGGCATTATGTGTCCCACTGACAGTGACTGAGCATCACCTTCTGCTGCTGTCACCGCTGATATGCAGCAGCAGGAGTCCAAGACACATCCAGCAATTTCTTTTCCCACAAGAACAGGAGGGAATGCAACACTATTTTAGCCTCATGTTGGTAAGAAACTATCAGACTGTAATGAACTGCTCCTCCTAGGAATTAACTTTGGACTAAATAACCAAGTTTGATTCAGTAATGATTAAAAAACTAACATGCAACACCACCCAAACCCTTCTACCTTTAAAATGGGTGAAATTAAGAATCTAAATTTAGAAGGGCAAAACATCAGTGACTTAAGTGTGGAGAAGGCTAGAAATTAAAGAGACAGAAACTACCTAGAATTTGCATATGGCATTTGCATAGGCAAGTTTATAAGAAAGGGCTCCATAACATCTAATGCTCAGCTGTGCAAACAGAGTTTATTATCTGGCATTAAAAACAGAAAGAACAGAAAGAAAATTAACTGATGAAAAAGGGCTCTACCACACCCACAGGACTGATGACAAAGAAGACAACACAAATCAGTCTTTGTCAGCTGCCCCACACAGATCATGGAAAGAGAAGCAGTAAATTAATACTTTCTACCACAACCATTATAATTTTTTTAATTACATCAAAGCACAAAAATGCATATTGGAATGCAATTGTTATCACACTGCAAACCTACCTCCTGTCATTACAGGCTTGGAAACCTTCTGCACCAGGAGATCTCTTTCCAGCATCCAAGATGGAAGCACTCTCTTTCTTTGAATAGATTTTGACTGTTTGCTTTCATTATCATCAGAAAGAGGAACCTGGAACAACATTTACTGTTTAGTGCCTTTATCCAGGTACTGAAGACTGGGGGGGAACTAGACCACAGTTTGTATTCAGTTATGCCCTTCAAAAGCAGTCTGGGTAACCACCTACTTTTTATATGGGGACCATTGCTCAAATATTTTACTTTTCTAGCAGCTTCCACCCACCCAGAAAAACAACAGCTATAGGAATCCTCATGCAGTAAAATCAAAACAAAACAAAACTCTTGAGGTCTTTGGAATAAATATCTAAAAGGCTACAAACTGAAAGATTCATAGAAAAGCTTTACCACCATCTTGCTCTAGTTTCCACACACAGGCATAACAGAAAGAACAAGTTTAACAAAAGCCTATTTGTCCAAGGAAAAAAAACCCAAACCCCAAACAGAAAAGTCTTCATTGCATTCCTACAATTTACTTCTCCAGAAAGTAACCAGACTCTAAATATCTGTAAAAACAGTGCAAATACATCAAAGTCACATTCATTATTTACTAAAAACAGCACCATAATTTTGAGTTTCCTGAGCCAGTACACTCCAGGGATCTCAACTACAGCAAAGGCTGACATTTCATTTGTATAGAAAACACAACACCTCCTTAACTTTCAACACATGCTTACAAATATCAAACTTCATTAAAAACTTAAGCACCCACCACAAGTCTGGAGGCAGCATCATTATTCCTCATTTTTGCAGCTCCCTGAACCTCAGAGCTGGAACATGCTGGTTCCATTAACAATGGAATACAGGACATCTCAAGAGCATCAACAGTTGGGGCTTCTTCTGCATCAGCCTCCTGTTTTTTTTCTGACAAAACAAAATCAATTTTAGCTACTCACATGCTACAGACATAAACATGCACTTTTGACTCAAACACAAAAGTTGGTCTGAACGTTTGCCATTAACAAATGCAGTTTGAAACTGACCATCAACATCCTCTAACATCAAATTACACAGGAAATAAATGCACCTTCCTTCTACTTCACACCTAAAGGGTTTTGAAGAAAAGACTCTCTAATAACTGCTGACCACCACTGTGGTGTTTTGGGGTTTAAGTACGTAACTTACACTGGTTGCTGCCATGACAAAACTTGGAGAAAGCAGAAATTGTATCTTGGAATTTGCTTTATAGTAAAACTGCACAACTCCCCAAAATCTGATCCTATTTTAGAAGTCAGGCAACGATTTTAAGAGGCAGTTTTCAGGATCAGATGCCAAATGAATCAGGCATTTCCCAGAAAGTTCTCACTACAGGCTACAAGCCTGCAGCACTGAGGTAACACTAGATACTCAAGTGCTAGTTTCAAAAGCCTCAGTTCAGAGCCACTAAGTCTAAAAAGCTTTTTAGGTTATGAAAGCAGATCCAAACTGCAACTGTTTTCCTTCAACACATCGCCTTCCCACTACTCAATTGGCAAGCACAGATAATTAGGGAAAAACAAGTCTAATTGCTGCAGTATTCCCTGCACAGAAGCACTGGGGCGTCTCTGCCAACCCTTCCAGAACTTTCTGCACTTCTGTCACCCTATGAAGAGAAACACCGTGGGCTAAACTCTGCCCTCACCCCTTCAGCTCTGCAGGGGCTCACAAAACCCCAGGGTGGGTGAGGTTCAATGGGACCACACCGGCCCATCCTCCCTGCTCAAGCATGGCACATGGCACTGGATTGCATCCCGATGGTTCTGGAATATCTCCGCTGAGGGACCCTCCACACCCTCCCTGGGCAACCTGTTCCATGTGCAGCCGCTGCACAGTGAAGTTCTCCCTTATATTCAGTCTGTGCATCACTTTCTGCCCACTGCCTCTTGTCCTATCGTTCTGTACCAGTGGGCACAGCCTGGTCCATCCTCTTGGCACTCTTCGCTTATGTAAATGAATACTCTAAGCCGTCTCTTCTCGAAGCTGAACAGGCCCAGCTGCTCCATCTCTCCCTCCTACGAGGGACGCTCCACTCTCCCAACCATCCTCGCTGCCCTCCGCTGGAGCCGAGCTTTGCCCGCCCCTTCCACCCGCGGCGGAGCCGGCTCGGGGTTACAGCGCTCGCCTTTAAACCCCGCGGCTGCCGACACGAACCAGCCGGCCCTGCGGGCGGGTGTCGCTACCGCGGGCCCGCGGCT